GACTGGGAAAATGGGATTTGGGTTGCTGGGACTGGGATTTGGCCACTGGGAATGGGAAATGAAGTCCTCAAAAATGGGAATGTGATTGAGGTAATGCCCAGTCGATTCCCAATTTTTCTACGTTTTAAGTATTTTAAAATACAATTTTGATCCGTTTTTGGTGTCTTTGGTCATGATTTTTGTTGTTAACTATATTATTCACAGCACTACCTGAGAACAGGCATACTCTGGCGCCCGAAGCACATTAGTATTAACGGGTTTTCTGATTATGCGTGTCTCAGAATGCTGCAAATGCCATTTCCGGGATTCAAATTTAAAAATTTTCCGTGCCTTCGGCACGAACCTCCCCCAATATTTCATAACGTGTTCGCCACTTGCACACACGATGGCTTAAAAGTCTTAAAACTGTTTATTGTACCGATAAATAAAGGGGTTTTTATTGACTGGGATTTCAATAACTCGGACTGGGATTTCTAATAAAAATCCAACTGGGACTGGGATTTGGCCAAAATTTCAGGTGGGAAATGGGAAATGGGATTGGGACCCCCCCCTTCAGGACCCTCATAATGGGCACCAATAGACAATTCCCACTATAGACTAATTTTTTATCTTAGCAAAAAATGTATATTCCCGGGAAGGTCATACTAAAATTAGTAAAATTACAAAGTTTGGTTGCGAAATGTTGTAAAATATGTAGAAAATATAGCCTTCCAAAGTTTGCAAATTTTGTATACTTTGGTATTGCAAATTTCGCATGCAGTACAAAAGTATACAAAATTTGCAAATTTTGCAAAGCTATATTTTCCGTATTTTACAACATTTCGCAACCAAACTTTGCAATAATTTACTTATTTTAGTATGCTCTTTCTAGCTGTGGTGATTTATTTGCATCAAGGCCGGATTTTGAGGGGAGGTGTGCAGAGGTTCGCACCTCCCCTGAGATCGTTTTGCATCTCCCCTGAGAATTTTTCCACCTCTCCTGAAAGGTCATGCACCTCCCCTTGGGAAGTTTCAATGATGGAACAAAATTAAAATGTGATGGTTGCTTAGGATCTACACTTCGTGACGTAAGAAAGTTTTCTCTGTAAAATTGAAACAGTGATAGCCATTTATCTCTGTGTCAAGTACCCTTTTAATGCAATGTTTTGAAAGAAACTTTGTAGCAATTGTAATGAAAGGCAAGATTGGAGTACGTCATATACATTCATAATTCATTAATACACTGGTACATATGTACACTACGTGCATACCTCACCTCGTTGGTATTGTCCTGTTCTATTATAAACCCTAACTTTCCATGGGAGTTGTGAGCTAGACCGCTGCACCTCCCCTAAAATTTTTTTCCACCTCCCCCACTATTTCCACCAATTAAATCCGGTCTTGATTTGCATCTCTTTGCCTAGTTCTAAAATTAGTCTATAATGGGCATTGTCTATTTACATGAACCAGGTGATCTTGATACGCGGAAAAGTACTGGCACTAGTTGTCAAATAGAAATCCATTTTATGATTAAAACAACTGAATATCTCCTATAATATACTTTATTTCGATTCCATATTTTTGTCAGAGCTATAGTTCTCATAACCAAACATAATTACAAAATTTCAACTAGTTTCATAAAGAATAATGAAAGATATAATTGACTGAATACATCAAAATGGATTTCTATTCGGACAACCCTTTCTAAGCGCTGATTGGCTAGAATACGAACACAAGATCACCTGGAACATAAGAGACTTTTTATTTGGCTTCCATTTATGAATATTGAAGGTCTATAAACATTGTTATTTGTTAAGTT